TCTGCTGGAGTACAGCACAGTTTATAATTCAGAGGCCCTCACAAGTTTGAGTTATTGCGCCCTGCCAGCCCAAACGTAACGCTATTTTATTGGAGACAGCACGATAGATCGGACTGGTAGCACTAGAGTACGTGCAGTCCAGTCTAGCAGGTCTGGCTAAGGAGTGAGTGGGGGCTAGGGGGAGAGAATTATACAGCACTTTTCTTCCAGACATGAGGGCAGTTCACAAAAGAGGCAGATATGCCCATTTCACTGATGGAGAACTTGAGGCACAGAGAGGTGAAGTGAGGTGACTTGCCCAGAGATTAAAACCCAGGTTACCTCCCCTCAATGCCCCGGGGGCACAGTGCTCTGTCCCCTGAGCCACACAATCTTCCCCCAGAAGCCTCAAATGAGAGAGTCTGTGGGACTTTCTGCTTAAACCTCACCACCGAATAACAGTCTTGCGGCTGGATACCTGAGAGCAGAGATGCTCCTTGCCTGCTCAACGTTTCCTACCCAACAGTCAAGCTTTCTGTATATCTCAAGAGCCCTTGGGCTTTACAAACACTAATTGCAATACTATGTGCCGGGGTGCTGCTTGCAACAAGCGACGTAGCACGGACACCCCTGCAATTCCTCCTCGCTCTGCGTGTTGCTAACCAGAACCTCTCTTTGGTTTAGTAGGCGCAAACCTACGTAGACTAGTAAAAAATGTCTCACACACAAATTTTAGTCATCTAGATGGTGAAAGGAGAATATTGATCCGTTTCATCTTGTGCCCAGCATTTAAACATCTATGCAGGCTGCCATCCTATGGGGAACAGCGCCCTGCCCCCTTTGCTTTGCTGGACTCCTGCGTCAGCAATGGCAACAGGGCGTTACCAATGGGACCATTTTGCAAGTGTGAAGATTTGGCTGCCTTGGCTGCAGTTTTTAAAGGCTGGGTGACTGGTTTGGGTGGGAGCCTGAACTGGCTGCGTTCCAGCCCCGTATCAAGTTTTGGTTCAAGAGAGACAGCATCATAACAGACAAGTGCACAGTGACTCCTGGCTTAGAGGAGCACTGAGCTCTAAGACCCCGTGCCTGGAGCCCAGAGAGGAGTTTGGTTTGGGGATCGCCACAAAGCTTCAGCGAATACCTGAGCCTCAAAGGTTCCAGGTTCATCCACCACTGCTCTAAACAGCTCCTTTCCCAAGCTATGAGAGAGATGTAGGGCCAGACTGCATTCAGCAGGGGCACTGGTGGGAGGATACAAAGAGCTTTTACCCCTGGAGCCCTCCCAGTGCAGTAGTCATACACAATTGCAGAGCAGGAACGCTCTCCCCCCAAAAGCCATTGCAGAAAAAAGGGACAGGAGACCGGGCCATAGCCACACACAGATACAGAGACATTCTGCAGTGTCCTATGCTTAATAATGAAGCAGCATGAATACTGCCCCAGTGTGCCTAGAAATTCCAGGATGTATTGCACCTCCCTGACACACAATCATTCTCCCCCCCCCCACCCCGAGACTTCTAAACAGCTCTTCAGCGGGGATGCCCTTATGTAGTAGGTTCTGAAAATGCACCTCTAAACAGAGAGGAATACTTAAACTCACTCAATTTTTGCACACATTGGAACTTTTCAGCTGCAAGTCTTCCCACCCAGTTGACTTCAAGTCTAAATGAGATAATCAAATCAAGACAAGTCTGAAGTTTCTAACTTCCATCCCTTGAGTTATCCAAGAGCGAGCAAGTCTCTTTTTCATATTTGGCTGGAAAAATGACTCAGAAGTAACCACCCATGCGTTCTTCGTAGACCCATTTCCCCAATTCTCCCCCCATCATTTCTGGTCAACTTTCAAAACCTTGAAAGTTTTCTCCAACCAACTCTACTTAGGAATTTCACTTTCACATGAGACCAAGCATGGAAAAATTTCAGCTCACAAAGAATTTGTAATGAGCAGCTAAAAGAAGGATGTTATAATGGATGCTGAAACTTAACCTAGCAATTGCCACCCACACACAGTCTAACTTGTAGTTAGTTAATTGTATTGCTTGGCGGTGCTTGAATGAATGTGACTCCACAGCATTTGAAGCGCTGCTCTGTGGATATAAATAAATGAATGTCACAAGAATAAAAATTATTCCCATGTAATGTAATGTCTGCATGTTCTTTCTGTAGCCAAACTAACACAAAGGAAGACAATAGAAATTGGTCAACATTGAATTTGGCCTAGTAGATTAGAGGAAAAATTGAAATCTGCTGCTGAGGAGAAGAAAGAAAAGTCTGACTCATCTTTCTGCAAAGAAAGAAACAAGGAAGTGGAAAGGGGTTGGGGCAGGAGGATACACTCTGTGTTATTTCCAGGTGCCCATCTTGCTGAATAGGTTGAGTTTGCTACACAGGTGCTGAAATGCTATTTGCTGAAGGAAGCTGTTGGCCAGAGAGACTGAAGGAGGGGGTGTTGGTAAATTAGATGTTCTAGAAACTGTAACTTTGTGTTTTAATCATTTCTGAGGCACACCAGGAATGAGCCAATTTATTTCCCCAAGTCTGTGCATTCTTAAGTACAAAGAGACTTCCTGCAGCGTTATTGATAGCTTCAAGCTTACCATGGTGTAACAGCCAGTGTAGCCCTCTTAAATATTTTTCAGTGTAGCTCCTATACCGGTTACGTCCCCCAGAGACTTTGCAGCTAGTATGGAGGGAAGTCCTACAGAGGTCATAACTTCCCTGACACCTGGTGCTTTTGACCATGCAGTCCCAAAATGGAGACAGCGCTATCCTTTTTAATAGGTGTGCTCTCACAGATACAAACAAAAAGTCTGCCAATCCAGCATACATAAACACCATCTGGATTTGTGTGTAATTCTGGCTTGATGCAATCAGAAACAAGCCAGCATCGTAAGGTAGATGCGTTAAACCCATGGCTAATGCTGGAATTCAGGTTGACAAGATGTGTCAAGTATTTGGGTGCAGTACTTTGTGTGGTTTGCTTATCTATTGCAGTGACAATGCATCCATCCTGTACTTAAGCCAGTGAAGAACAGGTCAAAGGCTACAGAGCTTCAGTGAAAGGCCATTGTAGATCAAAGTAATATGGGAGTGCTGGAATTGAGTACATGCAGATTTTAGAAATGAATGTTAATATTTCTTCAGTGTGCAGATGAGTGAATGGGTGAGTTTGCATATAGTGTAGTACTCCTGGTATACCGAGCAGGAGGCTAAATATTGCACTGTTGGCAAAATGCAATACAGGACTTTTCTGTTTTGCTTTATAATCAGTTGACCTGAGCTGTGAAGCTCGCTGCCATGGGGCTCTTTTTGCTGGGTAGATGTACCTTCTGCGTTCCAGTGGAGAAAATCAAATTAAGTGATAACATTCAGTTTAACTAACTCTCCATCTTCACCTGCAGTGGGCAGACAATGCAAGCAGCAGGGGACGATGTCTCTATTTTCAGACCTTAAACAGAAGGAAATATTTCAATTGATAATTTGCTGCCCTCTGATTTTGCCGGACTGAGTTTAAGTGACTGTGTTCCAGAGAGAATAGATTCAACATGGCAATAGCATTCTTATTATCATCACAATATTTTTATCCTACACTTGGAATGAGTTATTTCTTGTTCATGTAACTTAGTTAACATTGGTCTAAGTTTACTGGCATATACTAGGCTTGGCAGAATATTTATTTTGTTAATGTTTATTTTTAAGTATTTTTTGATTATAGATTTAAATGTTCACAAATGTGGGAAATTACGGGGGGGGGATCAGACAATTATTTAATGACAGTAGATGCTGAGATTCAAAACGTTAAAGCTTGATAACAGTTCAATTGGCAACTTCCTATGTCAAAATCTCCAAAGTAAATCAAACTGTAATGCTCAAGCTGGTGTGCTAACAGCGGTGGTGATACAGACTTCTCACTTTGCCTATCTGTAAATTCTGAGTAGTGGAAATATGGTTTCATCAGTTTGTCTGTGTACTGTGAAATGGCTTACTGACCTTTACCAATAAAAATCAAATCCTAATTATACAACTATGGTTCATGTAAAAGAGCTGCTTGCCTAAGGATGGTTAACAACTGTGGAAAGCAGGATGCATAGACATCCTGGTGGAAGATGGTCTCAGAATAAAAACAGAGGCAAAATCATCAAAATACTTCACTCTCTCATGCCATCAAACATAGCTGCTGCTTTGTCAGTCGTGGCTACAATGCCAGCCAGCACCTTGCAATGGCTCAGGATCTAGCTTAGGATCAAGGGCTCTCCTCTTGGGGCCTGTCTACACCAGGAAAATGACCCATTGTTAGTGACTATCAACAAGAGGTCCCCACTGGCCTCAACTGCTGGCTGCTAGCGTACCTGGGGCCAGGCTGTTTTCAATACAGTTATAGAAGACATGGTAAGACTCCCTAGATTTGCTAGTACTTTCCCTAACGATGGAAAATGGTGTTTGGCATGGTGTGTACTAATAATCCATTAGGTGCTGGTCAGAAGAGAAAACAGGCTGTAATATAACTCAAACACGGTTGGTAGCAGGCCAGTAACATGGCACTGAGCAGTAGCTTTGGGAAGAGAACTTTGTTCACATGAATGATATCCAGGGTAGTTTTCTGTATGTTAAAGACTGTCTCATAAGTGTCCTTTCACAGTCGGACAACACCCTGTTTAATGGCTGTCAATAACAACTCTCTTGGATCCCTTGAACTATTATCTGAAACTCAGAGCTGGTTCAAATTTCAAAATTAAAGCAGGGAAACAAGAAGTGCCCCCAATTGGATATAAATGTAGTGGGAGGCAAACAAACAAACAAACAGTTTCTTTCTTTTACAACATGATTTTTCATTTGTACCATCTATTTCAGTGGTAACTGAAATCCTCCTTACTTCAGGCAAACATCCCTTTCAAGGATGAGTGTAGTAAAACTGTAACTGACTGGCCATTCATTCCAAGCCCTTCGCTATGTGCTCTTATCACGACTGCAGCTTGTCACAACGATTTTCCAATGTTAACACGTGTGTGTCTTCTCCTCAGGATTGAGTCTTCACTCTGCACATTCAGACTTTACATCCTCTCTCAGTCCTTCTGAGAGAAATACTCTTACGTCAGAATCAACTCAAACCGCTGTCCCCGTCACCCTTGCTGCTAGCACAACAGCAGACAAGCTACAATCAGCAACAGCGACCACTTCAAGAGACAAAGTCACCTCAAGACCAGCAGAACAGGGCAACACCATAATCTCCTTAGGCACCACAAAAGAGTTGTCAACTGCCACGAAACATCTTGCCTCATATACAGAAAGAGCAGATGTTTCAGCCACCAGCCCATCACCGTCATCAACCACTGGGTCAGAATCAACAGCCACAGAACACATCTCCAGGACTTCAGTTGCCATCCTGACAAATACAACAGCTCCAGATACAGCCACCCCTTCCACAACAGCTCCAGATACAGCCACCCCAGCAACGACCTTCTCTCACCTAACTAATACCTCGTCTTCATCGTCATCGGCAGGTTCTTCCACACAGACCACCATTACAAATCAAAACACAATCCAGCTGCCAAATGCATCCACGGCAGCACCTGCTACAGAGGATGCCCCTACTAAAAAGACGCCCACAGAGTCCCTCTCATCAGGCCCAGTGATCAGACAAACATCTCAAGTAACTTTGGCAACCAAGTCTGTCGCAGAGGCCACCTCCCCTGAGAGCACCACTTTCTCCATAGGAGTAACCATGGAAGAGGTCCAGCGGGCTTTAAGTTCAGGTGAGGCAGATGATTTAGTATGTGAGTTATTTATGCTGTCACCTTTAGTGCTTCATTTCTCCTGTTATTTGGGGGGGAGCAATGAGGGGGGAGGCAAAGGGGTGAGAAAAAGAGCACTCCCATCTATGCATTGGAAGGGCTTTCAGGTTACTTGTAATATTGACAAAGTTACTCAGGAGCTACGGATCTGTGTTTTATGTACATCACATGGTATAGCCTTATTATGAATCTCTTCTACACCTGTGATCCCTTCATAGAAAGATGTTTTAACAGTGACTGGGTATATTCTGACAGGTCTGACCCCAAACTCTAAGTTTTAATAAGAATTTCACTTCCTACACTCTAGACTAGTTGACCACAACATATCTGCTGACCATAGATATCACATTTTCTATTGAGAAAAGACACTTTTCCTTTTCCCCACGGCCAGTGAACTTAGAAACCTTTCTGAGAGTTATCCAATAGCTTTTCTACACACAGTTTTAAGGTTTGAAATCTCAACCTGCCATGGTTAGATAAGTACCCTATCCTACTAGAGAAATTGAAGAATTCATGGCTTTCTAATGGCATACAACTTCTTCTCATCGTGATGGATGAGGAATTGGACCTTAAACAAATCACTGGTTTAAGATTAAATACAGTCAATGCCAGAGCTCAAGACAGGTGAAGGGAAATTCCCCATTTATGGAGGAAATAACATGACAACATTCTGGCACAGGCTTTTAATGGCATCTTAGATGTTTGGAAGGTCAGATATAATCACCTACTAATCCATTATCTTTAAAATTGGTCAAAGGTGCTTTGCGTGTACACGTATATACACCACATATGATGATGTCAGCATGGCAAGTTGCCCTATGAAGGGCTAGTGTGAGAATAGACTGAGGATGGTGTGAATCAATGTGGATTCCCATGATCAGGATATTATCTCAATGCCCTTCATTATGGGCTACCTTACTCATTTCAGACCGATTCTTTCCTGTCCTCTCCATACCCAGCATGCTGTTTAATCCAGTAACTTGATGTACAGAGTGAGACATTTTAAAACTGAGGCTACAGCAAGCTTCATACAATCTTTCAAACTTGTTTGGTGGCATTTTCCCCTCCAATCTCATTGCCGGTGGGGTGGCCTATTCCAAGGGCTGCAGCCATCATAGTTCAAGGAGCTGGAGTTAGGATCATTCACTTTGACCAGTTACCAATGGGAAAAACAACAAAATAAAGGCACGTCTGCCAAACTGAATTCTCTCCTGCTCCCTTGCATTTTAAATAAAATACAGTGTCCATGCAGGTGATACCTCTAGAGAAAAATCAGTCCCCATCACCCTGAAATCTGGGGGAGTCCTACAGTGCTGTGATGTATTAGTGTGTATTTTTTCTTCTGATTAAATTTAGTCTCTGCAGCATATTCCATAGCATTAAACATCAGCTACAGGGATGATTGTGAGTTGTGATACAAAGTGACCCTTTTAAGAGAGGGCACGAAAATAGTGGTGCTCTAAAGACACCAATAAACAGCATCTCATTTGTAGAGTGCTCAAATGCATAATTCAGCACTCTCCTGCGTTACAGCACCAAGGAGCTTATTCATTGAGACTAGAGATTAGTAGGTGTGTTGTGAACCATCCCAACTGTATAAAGAAAGAAGAGATGGAGGCATAACTGGAATATGGATCTGGATGCAAAAGTCCCCAAAGTTCAGGGGTTGAGTTCGTACCATTTAGTCCCAACTCATATTTAATTAAAAAAAAAACAGACTCTAGATGTTTCATTTCATTTAGTTTCATCGCATTCCTTTAGTCATTAACTTTTCTTCCCCCTCATTAAGCAGAACAAGTGGGAGAGATCTCTGCCTAAAAGCCAAAATGTAGAGTTAACAGCACATTAAGGCTGGATCATCAAGCCCTGTAAAGTAAAATAAGAAGTTATGATTGCTCTGGCCCAGTCTTTGATCTCCAGTATATTTTATGGTATAGGTTGACAGCATTATGGGTACATTTGAAGGGGCAGTATAAAACCACTTCCTACATGCAATGTAGATCAAAGTAATATTAGGCTGCATCTTTATGTTGCATAAAAGCTATTTTTGGGTAGAAAGGGTCTATTTTTATTTTAATGGATTTGTTTTGGGGGAACAAAATAGGCTATTGGGAGGGGATTTAAAGTAATGGATGCAAGTTCTGCTGGTTTTGCAAGACAAACTCACAGGCAGACAGTCTGGGTCCCAGACCAGCATGCTTCGTACCAGCACAAGCCACTGCACGTGCTTCCTCCACATTGCTAGCAGACATTCCGACCCATCCTCCCCTACGCCCCCATGTCTCCTCAGTACAGGGGGAGAGACACCGTGAATCAGCCACCTGAATTTTTGGTGGGATGGTTACATACAAATCGCAATAGTTTCAAAGGTTAAAGCCAACATTCATTCCTCAGCCCGTCGTTTTCCCCAGCCAAATCTGAGTGCCTGCCGAGTCCCACGCTGCTGTGACTAAGTATTTTCTGTCTCCATGGTTAAGAGGAGCTACAATGAGTTAACAGGAGGAATTCTCAGACTTTTCTTTCCCCATGCAGAAGTCCAGTATCTTCTCCACTTAACTGCATCGGCTAATTGTGGCTCCCCTTGAATATAGAGCACACAGACTAGCAGCATGAGACTTGCCAGTTACGCTGGCTTTGTGGACCCGGGTGTCCACTCAGTCTCTCTCCAGCCCCCCAAGGTGGAAGGCATTGATTTACAGAGAAGAGCATGAGAAGTCTCTTCCAGTGAGAGAGCAGTCTTCGTTTTTTCTGTAGGAGAGTCTCAAGATCCTAGAACCATAGGACCTGGAGCCATGTTTCAGAGTTGATTTTCCTCCTGTGTTGTCAGAAAAATATATTCAGACACTGCCATTAAACACTTTTGCAGCTGGTGTCCTTTGGGGCTAAGAGTGTGGACAGAGGTGCCGTACACCAGAAGGAACGAGTGATCTCTCCTCTACACACAGACATTGTGTGGTGCTGGAAAGCCAAGGTGGCTGAATGAGATACACCCAGAAATGGATCTTGGCTGCTGCTGCTGGGTCGCAGTTGGCAGTGGGTGTGTGCCCATTATGTGGGAAGAGGGGGAAAAATAAGTGTTACTATCCCGGTAAAACAGAGTAGCAGCATTGCCACAAAATGACAATGGGGGCAGAGGGGTTATTTAAAATAACCTAGGACAACGATAAAGTCTACAGTTTCAAATGTGCTGTGTGAATGTAGTTAAGAGGCTGAAGTAAGATGGGCAACTTGTTGCAGAAGGAAGCCCTGGCTGTCCTTAGCAGTAGTAGGTAAAAGTTCATTCTTTCAGCGTACAAAAGAGGACACCCAGCTAACCATGGTGTCATGGGCATTGGCATGGCCACTTCCACATTTCCCAAGTTCTGCCTGCCTCAGCTGTGCTGAACCCTCTGCCCATCCACACCTGGAGCCGGACACTTGCTCCCTCTTTCTCAGAGGAGGAATCTTTGTCCCCAGCAGTGAGAAGGGGGGACAGAGGAGCCATGTAAGGGAGAAGAGAGGAATTCCTAAAGAAAAACAGAGCAGAGAAGAAACTTTGTCAGGGAGAATGGGAAGTGGAGAGGAGACCTAGCAGGGGCTAGCAGATGTGAGGAGCTGTGGCAGAAATCTTAACAGGTCTGCAGAAGTCACCTATTTGCTAGATATTTTGTCCAAAATTTTTCAGAGTAGCTAGGGAGTCTGGCTGCTCAATTTTTGGCACCTCACAAATAGTGCTGATCTCTTGCCCTTTGAAAATCAGGCCCTTCCGCGTGTCTCACGCTGGGCACCCACAGTCACCAGTGGCTTCTGAAAATCTTGGCCCTAATTTTTGAGATTTTTTTTTATAAAAAACTGTATTTTGGGGGGACCCTTTTGAGCTCTTAAAGTTTTATCTAAACTGCTATATAAGCACTGAACAGTGTTTTTGCAAAATCATTTCCCTGTGAAGTAATTACTGCGTGCGCAGAGGACTGTATGCTTTTGTGGATTGTTTTGGGATGGTTCAGGTTGGGGGTAGGAAGTCGTGAGTCTGTCACTTGGGATTTATTTTAAAGGTGGTAAAAAAAGAAAACCATTTACCATATTTTCATTGTCTGCCAGACTGTGACCTGCGCGTTGCAGGGTCGGTATTTCAGAACACACACGCTTCCAGTGTTTGCGGTGTTTATTTTATCCAAATCCATTCTGCTGCCTTTACCAGAGCATCACGGTTACAAAAATATAAAGCTGCCCAACTCATATCAAATATCTCCCTGCTGCAAAGGGAAATATAAAGATTGCAAGTATTTTCCCCTCCCCCATGTTATCATTCCCCCACCCCCATGTTATCATACCAAGCAGATGAGAGCATAAAGTGAGCAAGGGAAGATTTTGTTTGACGTTTGGCCCTGGCAGTCTTCTTAAGCTAATAGCAATGCTGAGGGGAAACCCTTTTGTCCGCAGGCTGCAGAATGGAATCAGTAGGGCATTAGCATTGCAGTCTAAGGTGGAGGGGCTGCAAGGTGAAGCCAATTAACAGGCACCATTGAATAACTGTCAGGAAGTCCCCGCAGCCTGTAGCCTATTGAATACATTATTAGAGGCTGCAGAACCACTTGGCTCAGAAGCTCATTACTTACAAATAAACCTGTAACTTGAAGGAGTGTTGAAAACTTTTCCCCTCTTTGTCCCCCTGGGAATTTAAATGAGGTCAGTTCTGAGGGCAGCTCCTAAACAGCGACTCTGCATTGTCAGGGCCCCAGGCTCGGCTCATCCATCCATAAACCTGCTTATTCACTCCTTGTGAAAACGCCCCCAGGAGATTTTAACTGAGCCATTAAAAGGCGTCATGTACGCTCCTGCCAGAGCTGCACCACCGCTTCCTCCTTCAGCAGGGAAGCCTTCAACCACTCCTAACCCCGCTGCATGTACCTAGTAACACTCCCACGCAAGAGGAACAGAGCAACATGAGCCCAGCCCAGGAGAAAAGCAGTAAGCCTGGATGGGATGTAACTAGACAACTAGAGAGAAATTTTCAAGGGCCCAACCCTGACACTTGGGACCTCATTTTCCAAGCACTCAGCTCTCATTTCGATGCCTAATTAAGCACCCGATTTTCTAAAGTCCACAGCATCCAGCAGCTTCTATTGTGCCACTATGAGCTGAGCACCTAGCCTGCCCTTTTTGAAATTCTGGCCACTTATTTTGGTGCCTAAATGGGCACCAAACTCTTTAGAAAAATCTAGCCTTAGGGCCCCATTCCCATCATGCAGGCTTGTGTCAGTGAGGCTCTATTGACTTCGGCAGGGGCATTCCTGATTGCCATCAGTGAAAACCAGAGAGACTCAGGTTCCTGGTTTGGTCACTTTGCCTGATGTCAGCAGGTAAAAGTTACTGTATGTAAAGGAGAGGAATAGAACAGTGATTCTCAAACTTTTGTACTGGTGACTCCTTTCACACAGCAGGCCTCTGCGTGCGCCCCTCCCCCCTTATAAATTCATATTTTAAAAAGAAAAGGAGTACTTGTGGCACCTTAGAGACTAACCAATTTATTTGAGCATGAGCTTTTGTGAGCTACAGCTCACTTCATCGGATGCATACTGAGTCTCTAAGGTGCCACAAGTACTCCTTTTCTTTTTGCGAATACAGACTAACACGGCTGTTACTCTGAAACCTGTCATATTTTAAAATATAATTTAACACCATTATAAATGCTGGAGGCAAAGCGGGGTTTGGGGATTGAGGCTGACAGCTTGCCACCCCTCCATGTAATAACCTCGCAAACCCCTGAGGGGTCCTGACCCCCAGTTTGAGAACCCCTGGAATAGACCCTGCCCTGGGAACAGACAGCTTGGGAAGGGAGGGGGAGCTTAGGCTAAAGGGCAGTTTCATTTCAAAATCATTCCACAGTGCAAGTCCCCATTCACATCCAGGCCTCAGTTACAAACAAGGACCGATCTTAGCCATAGTCTCTCATATGTGCAGTGAATGAACAGCGTTCCTTCTCAATGAGGCATCTGGGGTTGACAGCAAATACCGCATTCCCTACATGAGGAGGCGATCCACATGTGGCCAGCATATAGTGTTAACCCGTGCACTGCAAACAAGTGAGCAGGAAGGGGACAGGGGTAATTGCTTTGATATATTATGACCTCACTGAAAGGTCTGTTTATGCCCTTTCCTTCCTCCTCCCCCTCTCTTTCCTGCAGGAAGCATTGCAGCCATTACGGTGACAGTCATTCTGGTGGTGCTGTTGGTGTTTGGGGTGGCAGCATACCTTAAGATCAGGTAAGCATTCACTTGGTAAAAGGATGGTTACCCGGAACATAAGAGCAGCCATACTGGGTCTGACCAAAGGTCCATCTAGCCCCATGTCCTGTCTTCTGACAGTGGCCCGTGCCAGGTGCCCCAGGGGGAATGAACAGAACAGGTCCTCATCAAGTGATCCATCCCCTGTCGCCCATTCCCCGTTTCTGGCAAACAGAGGCCAGGGACACCATCTCTGGAAGCAGCTCAGTAACTGGAACAAGCTGGAGCACATTCTCCTCTCCAACTGTATTCACACTGATGGGACTGACATGTCTCCTCCCTTCAGTGCAACAGCTGATGCTAATACAGCAGAGCTGGGGGCACTGCTGCTATCCGGCCTGGACTGCGCGTCAGGAGAGGCCCAAGCCTGACTGCTCTGCTCTCGAGCCCTAGCAGCAGGAGGCAGGCTGCGGCAATGCAAGCTTGCGTGTGCTGCTGGCCTGCCACTGTGCCTCAGACCCCGGGGAGCCCAGCTCTAGGGACTGAAGCGCATTTCAGCCTTTTGACGAGGGACCGGCGGGTGCCAATGGTGGTAGCAATGGTGGTGTCGACCCCTGGCCACAGGAATAAGAGCCCTGGCTCCTTTTATCAGGGTCACCAAGCATCTACCCACTAGCATTCAGCCATTATTGGGTTGGCGGAACTTGTTAGCCGACAGTGAGAGATACCACATCCCTTGGTGCACCTAGGGGGCAATCGAAGGTGCGCTATTATCTGAGTGCAAAGAGGCTGGGAGTTGGAGGAGACGCTGTAGCAATCCCATTTTATACAGTTTTCAATGGTACAAGCTGGCATTTTTCTCATTACAAAGGCGTCACTCACATGCCAGAGCCAGTAGTGCAATGTGTTGTGACCATAAACAGTAATTATCCCCCGAGCAAGCTTTACTCATACCCTATCTGTGACCTTAAAATAAGAACACCGCTGCAGCCTACATGGAGCATCTTTAATTGGGTTTAATTTGAGGCTGAGGTAAGCAAGGTTTTTTGTTTCAACTACTTCATAGTGATTCATACCAGTCAGGCTGGGGCACAACCAAAATAGTCCTGTGCAGAGCTATCACTGGTGTTCTGGAGGGATACTAGAAAATAGATGGGTTAGTAAATCAAGCAGACAACAGCCAGCTATTCTTGCTGTAAAAATAAATGTCTTGTTTGCACGGACACAGCCCTCCCTGGCCAAGTATTTCCTGAAAGTCACGTGTTCAGCTGGCATTCTCGCTGACTAGAATAACTTTTAAGTGTGGCTGAAGAAGGGAGTGGATTGCATTGAACAAGAACGCGCTGCTTTGAAAATTGAAAGAGGTTTTTACTGCTCAGGTAGGGCACAGTGTGAACTGGGGTCTCTAGGAAGGTTCTCAAATCTCAGGTGCAATTGCAGAAATTTTTAGAAGATTTAAGGTATTTCAGAATTAAATTCCAGGGGCATTTTTGGCATGACGTTGACATGGAATTTGCCAAGGGCGAATCGCATTCTGTTAAAATACCAACAACAGAACTGCAGGATCCCAAAGGCCACTGTATGTTACACATGTATGGAGTGGAGGGATAGCTCAGTGGTTTAAGCATTGGCCTGCTAAACCCAGGGTTGAGTTCAATCCTTGAGGGAGCCATTTAGGGATCTGGGGCAAAAATTGGGGATTGGTCCTGCTTTGAGCAGGGGGTTGGACTAGATGACCTCCTGAGGTCCCTTCCAACTCTGATATTCTATGCACACCATCCTATACAAATATCAACAAGCCAGCATTTAATAAACATTCAGCGAAAGCAAGTTCTTTCCCATCCTCCATACATACAAATAGTGGGCTGCATGCCAACCTCTCATCCACAACCATGTCTCCCAAGCAGTGTTGAATAGGAGCAGAGGCCCTTTCCTGCCTCTGAGGGATGAGTTCAAAGCCCCAATGTCAAAATTATAAAAGCATGTGAAAAGCCTGCATATTTACACACATACAGACACAAAGAACTTGCTTTCTGCAACTAGTCTCATTAAAAAAAAAAATCATTATTTCCACAAATGTTCTGACAGGAATCTCATGTGCTCAAATATTCACAAAAAACGAACAGGAGAGGGATGGGAACAGAGTCAAAAAGCAAATTTATTTAGGAAGGTGAATGAGTTTTCACTCCTTGCAGTGTTCAGCCTGCTCTCCTACCCCATGCACTGGCTTCATCACAGATCACTAAGAGAGACAAAAAGTATGGTAAACATGCATTCATTCTCTTCTCACACAATTAAGATCCGGCCCACAGACCACTAAATATTCAGAGCTTAACACACCTCCCTATTAAAAATCCATAGCACTGAGTACACTACCAGACCTGACTCTAGATCAAGAGGCAACATTAATATCTATATACAAGCAGTACGGTTTTAACTCCCTGCAGAGGAACAACAGACCATCTACTACACTCAAGTGCATTCATACCACAACACAGAATCATCGATCACCCACAGGAATTAGAAACTAGAAGGCATGGGGCCTACTGCAAACTGAAATAAAAAACTCACTGATCAAAGAGCCCAATTGTATTGCAATGCACAGTCAGGGGACAGGATTGTTCCCTGATAGCACTGAAGCCCAGATCATTCCTATAGCATAGACATGATCTAGCTGTGTTTTAAGCATGTCCCTGAACTGGACCAAGGAAGCAGCTTTACAAAAAACAGCTAGTGTTAGACTTCTCACTGTCCCAGAGAGTTGATCTTTAAAGATTTTAGGCACCTGGAGCTGTGATGTGATTTACTTGTCATCTAATCAGAATCAAAACCCTAGCCTAAAATTAATCTGGACCTAAACACCACCAATTATCCTCTCACACATTAAGTTCCCTGGGCCTGGTTACAAAGATGGGTTTTAGCAGTAGGTGCTTTTCAATGTCTGCAGGAGCGAGGGCATCCTTTCTACAGGGTTGTGCACTGAATAGGAATAGCACTGGAATAGGGTGTTTCTAAACCATTCCTAAATCATCCCAGACTTGTCTTTTCCCCTCCCTCTCGCCCTCCCAGACATTCTTCGTATGGAAGGCTGTTGGATGATCATGACTACGGATCCTGGGGAAACTACAACAATCCTCTCTATGACGACTCTTAGCAAAGGAAAGTTAATTGGGACAAGAAATAAATGTTCTTATTTATAAGTGCTCACACAGTAGAACAACAACAAGTCACCTGGTACGCATTCAGTTCCAGTTCCATGCCAGCTTCTTCTCTCCCTGCTGCTTCTTCCTCTGTTTCACAAGGGAATCCTAATTTTAAGACAAGACTAAATGCTGAATCACAACTGCAATGGGACTAAACTGAAGCTGACAGACTGCAGTCACGGTCTCGAAACCAAAGGCAGTCACTCCACAAGCGCAATAAATTTGAGTTTATGCTTTTAAGGAGGAAATTATATTAAATCTCAGTGAGGGGACGGGAAGTAATCACTGAAAGGTTTTCATCTGTATGGCTTCTGTTCCTTTGATTCCTCTTTAATCTTCCCTGTCTGTTCAGAGCGGATGGGGGTCTGGTCAGAGCTCTGCAGTGCAGTACAGGGCTTTTACAGTTTATTACCAAAAGATCAAAACAAATTACCCAGGAGGCTGGGAAGTAGAGAAAAGGGAAGCTCAGCAGGGTCATGCCAGAAACTGATGCTCTTATAGTTGGTCATCTTTGCCAGGGTGTCTCATTTTCAGAATGTCATCATTATAAAGCCAGGTGAAGGTTAAATTCACCGCCTGTGTCATGGTGAGTGGCAGGTTTACACACTGACGTGTTACACCTTGAAGTGGAAAATCAGTGATAAACAGGAAGGGGTGACCACTGCTGCTGCTGCAAGGAAGGCATGTGGCAGAAATGCCAGCAGGGGGTTGGGAACTTTCTTTTTGGGAAGGAGAGAACCCATACATTGTCAGCACCGTGGCAACGTAAGATTCCACGAAGTGCAACATTCGTATTCAAAACACCACTCCCTCGGATCTGACTGCTGCTAGTGAAGAATATGGTTGTACCCAAAATAAACTGCAAATAGGAGAAACCCATTCTGCTGCCCTTCCCTTCGTTTAGGCTGCTAGGATGAGTCCACTAATATTTAACAGGAGGTAAAGATTGCAGAATTAGGCCCAAAATTAGAAGATGTGGTGGAGGTTTTCAAAAGCCTGTGGGAATTACACACACCTTTCTTTGAAATTAACCCCTGGAGTGCTTTGCTTTGAAAGTCTCAACTTAATGTTTAATAGCTCTTCCCTGCAGCAAATTTTCAGAGCAATTCAATCATTTCTCTCTCCCTTTTCTTTTGTAATTGCGTGAACAAGTCTGGGTGTGTTTATTTATTACATAAAAGAAACCTGACAGATCACCAGTGTGGTAAGGAAACAAATATACAGTGAGATAGAAGTGTTGTCATCTGCTACATATATTGCTTTACTGAATTGTTTTCTATCTGGTAAGGTCATTTGCTAAAACAATCCAGTATTTTTAATCCAGAGTTTGTGCTTACTAATCCTGCTGCTGCTACCAGTAAACAAAGCCATATGGGTTCATTTATGAGGAGATCAAAACAGACTTGGCTTGTTTAAATACACCATAGCAGTTCCCCTTGGAGCACATGATCCAACTTATGAAACTCCAACCCTTGTCTTTTTCAGAGTAGTTTTTCGATTGTTATAAAAAGCCAACACATCATCATTAGGTTGACACGCAATAGCTCATCAAGGCTACAGTGGTGGGTGGCATGCATTTCCATTTTACCAGTTTGACAGGTAAACCAAGACCTGCACTCCCAAAACGTAAGCTTGGTGGGAAATTTACTTTGCAGTGGTCACTCCCCTTTGTCAAATAGAAGGCACAGGAAACTGCTTGAGTGCAGCGGGACATTTTGCTACAGTGGTGCTAATTGCACTGGATGAGACACCTGTGCAGGGGCCCTGCTGTTGGGAATAAAAGTCATCTATACTGAGAACACAGAGCGTGTCTGAAAACCAGTCACGAACTATTAA